TGAAGCGTGCTTCCATTAAAACATACTTGTGACCTTAGTATTTACCGTATAAATGCTAATCTACGACTTATTCTGCCACCAGGGCGGAGCCACTTTACAATGAGGTAATTTTCATAGGGGGAAAAATAATATCTTAGAAAAATGTAAAGGTTAATGTTTTTTTCTGTACTATTAGTTACATTTTATATTAATTAGATTAAAAATAAATAAACAAAAAATTAAAAAATTAAAAAGAGGTATAAAGTACAAAAACTTAAAGATCAAAACGCTGACGCATTCTGTTGTAAATATATAATATCACGCCTCTTTCCCGTAGGGGTAGGCAGAGACCACTTCTTTCCACTTGCTACGACCCTTACATACTTGTTTCGCTTCGTCCACTTTCATTATTCCCTTCATACATGCTCTTCGGTTTAGGGTACTCTTGACCTGGCCTTTTTTCAAGACGTCCCTGATTTGGTCATGAAACGTCCGCCTAGGTCTAACACTTTCATTCACATTCGCCTTATACACTTTTTTCTTCAATCGATTTTTATTCATTCTCTCGACATGGCCAAACCATCTCAGCATACCTATCTCAATTTTGGTCACTACATCTTCTTTCAGACCACAACGTTTCCTTATCTCACTATTTCTTATCCTGTCACTCAGTTTAACTCCAATCATACTTCTTAACGCTCTCATATCAACTGCATTTATTCTGCTTTCATGTTTCTTCTGTCATACCCAACTTTCACTTCCGTACATGAGTGTCGGAACCAACACCCTCTCATGCACAGCCAAACGAGCCTTCTTAGACTCCTGCATTCACTTTTCTTTCGATATCACTCTCACACTTTCTTTAACACTTTTAGTCGTGGGATACTCATCCCAATTTACCTGTCCGGTAGTTGTGGTATAGTATACGGGTATGCGACTCCGGCTTCCCTAGCTATTACTGTCCTATCCCTTGCCCTCCTGGACGATAATATCCTACATTTCCTATTTCCCACCCTAAATTACCAATCTTCCTTTTTTCACCACCTATCCTATTCCTACCCTCGTCGCCAATCCAACGTCTGCTGCGCGGATGGATGCATGGCTAGGGGCAACCCTAGTCGTTAGCGTGCCACACTGCCCTGGTACCGGGCGACCCCAGAATTAGGCCATTGTGTTGTGTACTAACATAACACTCTATAAAATGATAGTCAGGCGTGTCACTTTGTAAAAATCTGAGGTATGGAAAATGGTGGCGCGATTTTCAAATTTGTTCGCATTACTCGTGGGGTATTAAGGTTTAAGAGTTTGCAGTGTATATACTCAACTTATTTATTGAACTATAAGATGTGGGGTATTGAGGTTTAAGGGCTTGCGATTTATTTATATGGGGTTTGTAGTAATATGCGATTTATTTCCTAATTTCAGCTATGGAATTCCATACCTTGAAAAACTTGAGGTATGGAGTGCTCCATACCTTCCATAGTGGAAGTGACACCCCTGATGATAGTGTTATTTAAAACTGTGTATACTTGGGGAGTGCTTTTAGCCGGGATGGAAGATGTGATTTAGATGTGGACAGGCGTGTCGCTGCCGGGAACAAAGTCAATGGTGCCCTGACTGCGTTAGTCAAAAGGCAAGGCGTAGCGAAGAGTGCACGCCTTGCAATACATAACGCAGTGTTGGTACCGACTTTGTTATATGGCAGCGAAACCTGGGTATGCCAGAAGAAGCATAAAAGTAAGCTGAATGCAGTGGAGATGCGATCTCTTCGTAAAATGTGCGGCGTTACCATGGCCGACCGAAAGCGAAACGAAGAGATTCGCAATATGGCAGGTTTGAAAGATGACCTTATCACAAAAATTGATAAGGGCGTGCTTCGGTGGTTTGGGCACGTTGAGCGAATGAGTGAAGACCGAATGGTGAAGAAAATATATAGCGCGAAAGTTAATATTAAAAGGTGTCGAGGTAGACCGAGACTAACTTTCGAAGACCATGTGAGCAAATTGCTCGAAGAGGGTAGGGTCAAAAGTACTCGGATACCTAGACGTGCATGCATGAAGAAGATAATGAATCTGAAAGAAGCGAAAGAGGTCTGTAAGGATCGTGACACTTGGCGATCTGTTCTCTCTGGCTACCCCGTCAGGGATTGTGCGTGAAGATAAGTCAAAATTATTTAAAACTAATTTCTCAATTAAGTGATATTGTGTAACAGAAAACTTTACCTCAGTCACAACTAGCGACATCTGGTGAGTGGAAGATTATTAACCCTCATCACTACAAGTAGTCGCATCTGCATCTGGTCAATAATTTATTAACAGTGCCATCTATTCTACGGTTTATTTATTCAATTTATATTAGCAAGTACTTCATAATTTTACTAGATGGCGCTTTAATAATTCCAAGCATATAGTAAATGAGGGCTAATCTAAAGCTCACTAGATGTCGCTAGTAGGAACTGAAGTAAACTTGTCATGCAGATGGTCACACAGTGTTACCAGCACAAACTAATAAGAAGTACTAGCGCAGTTATCAGAAAAGTTGCAGTTTAAGTATACAGTATAAGCCTTTGGGTTTGTAGAGTATCTGTCAGGGGTGTGTTAATTTATTACATATTTTACTCTTTACTTCTTCGGGATACTTGTGAGAATATCCGTAGTTTGGTTTATTCATTTCTAATCTAATTAAAGCAAAATATAACTATTATTTCAGAAAAATCTTTTTGACTTCCGCGACAAGAGAACTGTAATTTTTTTATTTCGTTCCTAAGTTTCGCTGCCCTGGTGGCAGAAAGAGTTTTGGAAGCCCTGGGAAACCCTCATTGCAACGAATATAGTACATAATTACTGTTATGTCTCACAAAATACCTAAATGGAGTCTATAAGAAAGCTATCAATTGTTTCGATGTAACTAGTACACAGAACAATAATGTTTCCATTACTTAGAGCTATTTCGCTTGAAACTTGGGCTAACTTTACTCTTTGACTTAGGCTTGGTCAGTATCTGGCGATTTTTAGTGTTGGGGCCTCAAACTAATATGTGGTTGGGACAATGTTGTGTGCTTTTATAATGGAATAAATATCAATTTTTTTTGTACGATAACTTAATTACGATCTTAGAAGTAGGTACCTTTAAATTTAAAGTAGAAAACTATATCTAAAAAGTTTATGCAGATGTAATCTATTTTTCGCCCCTCATCAAGAATCCAACTAAACATAACTGTGGTGGTTACAGATAATCCATCACCCGTCACCCCATTACAGGCTACACTTACAGGCTTAACGTAGTGATTACAAATACCCAGATAGACGTCGGGTAGCAGCATCCAATTAATAAGGTACCCTGTGGCAGTATCAAAGGTGCAAAACCACTGCAACTACCAAACGTGACAGTTAAGACTACTATTGGGGCGGGGGGGGGATTACAGCAGGAAAAGCCCATACCACTGAATTTCTGGTCGAAGAAGGAAAGATTGAAAAAATATTGTATTTAAACTACCTTGTGAAATATTAAAATACACCGTATTCATGATTATATTTGCTATATAACATTACTTATGTTGTAGAAATGAAGAGAAAAAAGACAGCTGGAGCTTGGGGAAAATCGGAATGTATCAGACCTTAAAAGTGTCCGGTATTCATTTGGCTTTTTGCATAGCCAGCTGTATATTAACTGTTCGGGAATATTGAGCGAAAAAAAAAGCTTGTATGTGCTGAGTGAAAATAATATATTGTACATGTGGTTTACAGGTGAATTTTATATGAAATTTTCTAACTTACTGCTGTGTGGGCAAATTCAAATTCAAATTGCGTTTTTAAAAGTTTAAATCAGTCAAGTTTTTCAGTCAGTAGTTATTTTAATCTTCTTAGCGATAAATAAGCAACCTATCTTAAGTATTAACATAAGTAACGGTTGGTTATAAGTGTCATGTCATAAGCATACTACACGGACGAAGTCATTTTTTAATATTATAAAAAGAGAACATGGGCCTTAATTTATCGAATGATGTCGATACAATATCGAACGACTTCCACGAGGGCGAAGCCACGGTCAAAACCAGTAATGATTATAAACATACAATTTTAATCTTCTTTTTTCTCTTGGGTCTGAGGAATATCCTATAAGTGGTTAACAGAGATAACAATTACTCTACTTTTTGGATAAAAATTCATATGATAGCGATAGATTCATCAGATAGCGTTACTGTGCCAATAAGACAGGCTTTAATTGAAAAATGCTAAAGGCTTGATAGATTTCACTTTTAAGTTCTAGATCAATTTCAATTCTCTTATAAAATGGTTGGTGACCCATCCTATCTAACGAACCGAACGATACGCAAAAATCGTATGATGTTGGAAAAAACTTGGGCAACTTAGAGCATAGGTATTATCTCTCCCAGCAGTAATAGTTTTCCGTGACATATTTTTAATCATTAATTTTATCATGTAAAATTTTTCAATCTCAATTTTGTAAAAGTTTACCTACAAAATAAATCTCATTAAAATCTTAGAGCATAAATTATGTTACAAGTTCTTATTCTAAGCGCAAGCATTAGTGGTGCTACTAAGTTACTTCATTCATACAGATCAAAATAAAGTATTTTTTTTTTTAATAATTTGTATGTTTTATTTATATATTAATTATTATAATCGGGCGCAATTGTAAGAACCATCCTTTCTAAATAATTATAAATTTGGCTGGAAATTGCAGTGTACCGAATCAAAAATTCTATAAAAAAAATCCTCTGAAAAGGCGGGAAAATTATAAAAAAAGGAGGCAAAGAAAAATTTCCTCTAAAACTATTATTTTCATAAAATCGTGGTGAGTATGTGACCTATAAAGTTTTTACGTAATTTTATTAATATTTAAAATATTTTGATACTATTTAGAGGTCGAGCCAAGCAACGGCAACACCAAATGTACGAGCTATAACACGATATTTTATACACATGTAGGTCAATGAAAAAATGGCTTAGCACTCGTAGCTCCTATGTACCGTGGCAAGAAATAATTTTTAATTTTAAATGGCCTTCAGTGATTTATGTCACATAAGTAATGCTTATAAAGCAATCGAAAATGAACCTGATCAGGTGAGTAGCAAAGTGTGTTCAAAAGTGCCTTTTGGATGGATTTGGAAATGTCGTATGTAGCTGTCAATTTGACCCCAAAATCCGGGAAAATGTCGTAAATATTCGCAAAAAGTGCATGTTGTGATAGTTTGTGACCATAATTAGTGTAATTTTTCCATCTTACGGCTTCATGTGCTGTGACATTCTAGTAGCACACGTTTAGATTTTCGCGGAGGCGAATGATGACATCGGAAGACTACTCAATATTTTTAGAATTATGTAGCTTGTTCTTTAGAGCACAAATCACCAGGTAATGCTGTTGAAAACGGCTTTTGGCATATTTTTGTTTATATTAGCTATATTTGTGATATACTTTGTTGTTTGTATACTATAAGTCATCTTACAGAAGTACGCAGTTCGTAGGGTTGTGGCCACTTTCTCTGTGAACTTTTGCATATTTTAGTGTCCTTCACCATTGTAAAGTAAAATAAGAACAATTTATACTTTTACCACATTATACATGCGTCACGTCATGACACTTAATATATTGTGTTGTATTTGTGATTGTTATTTCCTGTTTACACATTATTTTGTTTATACTTTACCTACGCGAAGGTCACCCAGTAAAGCATTTTTTTTGTTATAATAAATTTTCAAAACATTAGCTACAATATGCAAACATATAGACTTACTTTAAATATACAGATTCAGATACAAAAAGTGGAAATGGTAATAAAAAAGAAATAAATGTACACTTGGCAAAATATAACAAATGAATTGATAAGGTAGTAATTAAGAGTTCCTTAAAATTTGACTGCATAACAGTTAAAACCTATATGAATGTGATACTCTACTCTCTACTTCTTTACTTCTCTATCTCCACTTTATTGTCATACATACATTTCTATAAACAACCCCCTGAACATGAGTTTTCTATTGTATTAAATTCATATCACTATGACTTCATCTGATAAAACATTGTCTGCCAGTGGTGCTGTTCCATACCAGACTTCTTATTATTTTCTGATTTTAAATTATTTATGTTTATTTGTGTCAACATATTCATCTACAAAATTTAAATACTTCTTATCTTAAAACAGTACAACTGAGCTGCTGTTTATTTAGCTAGTGAGGATAAGGGACAATTCTCTGTGTGAATACAAGTCTGCTGTAATGTAAATTAATGAGTTTATTACACCATTTCTTCCTTGCATAGTTTTTAATGGGGTGTGTTCTTAATGGGGACTAAATGAAAAATTCACTCTAATGCTTGTCACTCAGAGGCAGGGAATTTAAGTCTTCTATTGACATGATCCTGACACACCTCACTTACTTTGTATCCGTATATTCATACATACATGCTCATCAGTCAAGGGTACTCTCAATGTGTCCCATCTTCAATATATCACCAATTTGGTCAATAAACTTCTGCTGCATAAATTTGTTTTGTTACTCATTCCTCATTCATTCTTTCTATGTGCCCAAACCACTGAAGCATTCCTTTCATAATCTTGGTCACAACATAGTCTTGCAAGCCACACTTTTAAAGCATTAATTCTACCCTCCTTGTATCTCTGCCACACCCAACTTTCACTACTTTACATTAACATATGGACTAAAATAGCATTGCAAATTGTCATATGTGCCTTTTTTGACACATTCTGGATTTCCACAATAGAGTGAAGAGTCCTCTCCTGTTCTGCATTCATTTTTTATTCTATATCCTTGCCATGTATATATCTAACATTGCTGCTAAACATAGTCTAAATACACACATCCACTTGCTCTTTATAGTTTTTTCTTTTTGTTGTTTCAATACTCTCAGCCTTTTGCTGTTTCTCGATATGTGATGAGAAATAATTATAATTTAAAAGTGGCGATTATACTTTACCACATTTCTAGTTCTGAGCTCTGTTTAAAGTTTCCAATCTCTAGCTCATTGTAAAGTTAGTTTAAAATCAATTGAAATATTTATATGGAACAAACAAACAAATTGACAGACAAGGTAGTGATTTTATATTGCGTTGTCATCTAGTTTTGAGCTATTTTTAAAGTTTTAAAGTCTCTAGCTCAATGGTACGTTTGTTTAAAATCAATTGGAAAATTTGTATCAGACACACGAGAAAGCAAGTTAATAAAAACATGGTAATTGAAGAAAATCAACGTAAACAAATTTCTGCCATCACAGGCAGAACTATTATGATTGAATTATTGAATTGAAGAATTTAATTACACAGTGATATTATTTATATTAATTTATTTTCTTGCCATGTGAACCACAGTACCTGAGTAGCTAAGCGCCTCACTGTATGTTTATGGTGCACGCACAACCTGGGTTACCCGTACCTATGAAATGTTAATTTAAATTTTGAGAGCTGATTTATCATGTGCTGGTCGGGGAAATAAAACATTGTGAGGAAATCTGCATGTCTAACATATTTTTAGAACATGTTAAGTCTGTCCGCTCAAATAGGAGTGGTGCGACTGACTATTTATTCTAAAAGAGGAGAAGCTTGTACTCAGCTCAGCGGGGGATTTCTTGCCCTTTATTTTTAATAAAGCTTTGAGGTTTCCCAAAACAGTTACAAAATAATAACTATTTTTATGCTGAAGTTAGAAGTATAAGTGATATTACCTACTTTAATTGATGCATTAAAACTTCAAGCATCATTAAGTTTATGAAGCATGTGTCCTAACGAAGCCGTTACGTTGATTTGAGATCTTCATCTTATGATCATTCTTTTACAGTCACTATTGGATGGTTAAATATGTATTTCAATACTCCCTAAACGTATTGGCCTATTGAAACTAAAACAACAGTAGATGTATATGCTGACAAAAGGAAGTCACCAGGCATGTGGTACTTGCCTAGATGAACTACTTGGTACAGAAAGAACCCTACCACCTAGTTACACATAAGCGTTTGAAGGTTTAGGTACTCAGATGGATAGATAGATAACTACGGGCTATTTTCCGCAACTCCACGTTTAAGCGCGTATTTTGCGTGTGGGCAGGAACAATGTAATTATTCGAGCCATGAAATCTCCCTGAAGAAGTTCAACAGTCTTTTGATGTTGCAAGCAACTTCGGGGAGAGATTCTGACATGCCGAGATGTGTAGCCCTGTATGCTACTCATATGGATGTAATACTTTAAACATGGTACTTTGCAATTTAAAAGAAATAAGCATTTAAATAAAACTAGTTTATATGGTAGTTTATATTTTATTGCGTATATTAACACTTTCATTGTCCGGTTTTCAGACACAATAGTCAGACAATAGCAATGACCTATATGTAGTGCACTTATATGGAATTAACTTATTTTATATTCCCGACATATCAATCACTTTACAACACCTATGATCATGAGGGGAACCCCCTGTGACCATGGGTGTTGTAAAGTGCTCGAAACAAGTAGTGTTTGCAAATGTGTAGTGTTCATGTAAATATAAGAAATCTTTAAGAAATAAACAATTTCTAGCTTAACAGGTTTACAATCCAAGAACTTCTACTTCTTCATAAACCTGTAAAAGTCCATATCTAGGCATGGGCTTTTGTCATTGTAGAGAGGATTGGTCTTAGTGTTCACACTTGGCAGGCGAATTGATGACAGCAGTTTCAGACGTTTCGCACCTTTGATGCTGTTGCCTGATGGTTGATGCCGGTTGGTTTTTATCCTTGGTATAACCAAAAACCTTGTTGTAACCAAAAAAACCATCTGTTTGGTGCCTTAAGATCTCTTTGGTGTATCCTATAGTCGCCTATAACGCTCACTCAATATCAGGTGGGACCTTGGCCGAAATTCATAATTTAAGAAAAACAAAAACATTTAAGAATAATTAAATAATGTTTTTGTTTTCCTTATCTGGACGACAAAAACTGAAGACGCAACTAGAGGAATTATACATATAAATATACATGAATTATAGATATAATATACTGAGTAGACATGCGCGCCGAGCAAGAATTTGGCGGCGGCGGCGCGCCGACCCATTGTGGTCGGCGTGGCGACGCCGCGCCGGCGTGGCCGTATTTTATTTTAATTTTTATAAACATTTGTTTAAAATAAGGTAGTAACAAGTGAAACATTGACCTAGATAGGAATTCAAATTTAATTTCTCAAAAAAAAACAAACCAAACAAGTTCTAATTAATTATACCTTATAATTTGTACAAAAACGAAAAAGCACATTTTTTCGTTTTTTGCACAAATTATAGGAAATTAAAATTGTGTTTTTTGCACAATGTATAATTATCATGAATAAAAATAATTTTATTAACGCGTACTGGGCTTAGTCTAGATCTTTTAGCAGCCACAGTTAGTCCCACTATAGAAAAAACGCGCTCACTTGGCGGTTCTGATCACAGAGTACTTTTTATATACGAGGGTGGATTGAAAAGTACTCGGCCTAACCAAGAAAATAAACAAATACTAAATCAGTTATATTTTTATTTTTCTACATAATCACCATCAAGTTCAATACACTTTTGCCACCTCCCCTTCCAAGCATTTAGACCGTTGAAAAAAAATGATTCTTCCTTAGAGTCAAAATATGCGTCTACAGCTGCTTTGACCTCGTCGTTTGTCGAAAATCTTTGACCTCCCAAGTGCTTTTTTAGGTTAGGGAACAGAAAGAAGTCTGATGGTGCCAGATCAGGTGAATACGGCGGATGCGGTAACAGTTCAAAGCCACAGTTGTGAATTTCAGCCATTGACTGTACTGACGTGTGAACGCGGGCGTTATCTTGATGAAACAGGACTTTTCTTCTGAGCATTCCTCGACGTTTTTCTTTTATTTCCTCTCGTAAACGACGTAGTAAGGTGCAGTAGTAATCAGAGTTTATATTCTGACCCCTTTCAAGATAATCAATCATAATCACACCTTTCGAGTCCCAGAATACTGAAGCCATCACCTTATTTGCCGACAAAATCGACTTACCCTTTTTAGGGGGTGGTGAACCAGGTCTTCTCCACTGTTTTGATTATTGTTTTGTTTCCGGTGTACAGTAATGAACCCATGTTTCGTCCATAGTAACAAAACGATTCAAAAAATCATCTGCATCGGCTTCAAATAACTCCAAACAGTCGCGTGAAATAGTCAATCGCGTCCTTTTTTGTTCAACTGAAAGCAGTCGCGGAACCCACCTCGCAGACACCTTGTGGAAACCCAACTCGTTGACAATTATGTTTTGAGTTCGTTCATAAGAGATGCCTATAATCTCGGCTATCTCTCTAATTTTTAATCTGCGGTCTCCCATTATTAAATCAAGTACTTTTTTAATATTTTCGTCAGTAGTTGACGTCGAAGGCCTTCCAGAGCGGGGTTCATCTTTCACACTCTCTCTACCACGCTTAAATTCTGCTATCCATTTTTTGACGGATGAATATGACAGAGCACAATCGCCTAATGTACTGACCATGTCATCATGGATGGCTTTTGATGATAGCCCCTTCTTATGGAGGTACTTAATGACGGCACGCTGCTCGATTTGCTCCATTCGCGGAAATTATGTCCGATTACTTTGTTAATAAATTTATAAAAACACAACTAATTATCGCACACGTTTCGAACTTCACACAATGAACTAGTCTGAACTGAACTAAATAATGTGGGTAGATTTGATTTTTAGAATTGAATGGATATGTGTTAGGCCGAGTACTTTTCAATCCACCCTCGTACATAAAGTTCTGATACGCGCTCCAGAGACTGTAAAAATTTAATTTGTTCTATTTCCGCCGCTCGCTTCAATTCCGGTAAGCGATACCGAACGATTTTTACGATCTTTTTACATTTTTTTATTGATTTTTGAATTTTTAAATAATAGCATGGTTTTATTGACCCCGCGCCCGCGCGCCCGTCCCGCGTTGGATTACGGCGCGCCGATCGGATTTGTCGGCGCGGCGCAGCGTGGGCAGGGCGCGGCGTGGCGCGGCGGCGCCGGCGCGGCGCGCATGTCTAATACTGAGTTTAATTGTACTTTCTAAATATTTTTAAATTTTGTTGTATATCGACTCTAAAATGTTGTGCAAGCTTAGGATGATATCAACATCATTAATAACACTACAGCCCTACACAAGTTCACTGCTGAACATAAACCTCTCCTAAGGAATACACAGTCCACAAAACATTGACATCCTGCATGTCTTTACTGGGTTGTTACTCTTTCTAGGATGATATCTTTATATATATAAAAATTACGTGTCACATTGTTTGTCCACGATGATCTCCTAAACTACTGAACTGATTTCAATATAATTTCACACTGTACATAGTTTTTATACCGATAAGTGGCCCTCAATATTTTTTTATTGCGAATTTAAAGATTTTTATAGGAAGGGTCGTCGGAAAGGGCAGAACGTCTGCCTAGGCAGCTAGTAAACATAATATATAATATTTCAAATGGGTTTTTTTTCTTACAGTCGGAACGTATTATGGAAGAAAACTCGATGGTCCGGGATCTTATCACAAAAATCCTTGATGAGACCGGACCTTCAGAAGAGATTAGGTGAGTTATCCAAAATTTTTCTTTTTTTTTCGCGATATTCAGTGAGATATGCCTACTTATTAGCTTAAAATGAGTCGAGTCGGGAAAGGGAGGTGTGGTTTTTTCTGCCGACTTCCAAAAAGGAGACGGTACTCAATTCGACTGTATTTTTTTTTTTAGTGTGTATTACCTCATAACTTTTTACTGGGTGGACCGATTTCGATAATTCTTTTTTTATTTGAAAGCTGGTAGTTCTCGTCTGGTCCCATATGAATTTGATCAAGGTCAATCCCATAGTTTTTGAGTTATTTTTAATAACTTGTATTGAAGTCGGCTGTACAAAATTTTTAATTTTATACTATTTTTTTATAAAACTGAAGTGGCAAACAAACCTACAGTCCTCCTGATGGTAAGTGGATACTGCAGTCCATGGACACTTGTAGCTAACTTCAAACAAATTAGGCTACTGATGTGTTGTCACCTCTGAGGATTAAAATGGAATGCCTCACAGACTGTAACTATACAATTATAGATGCTATATCTATAGACTGTGTTACTGATTGTGTTAACTATGGTCCTAAATGAATACTGTATTAAGCATGTTTACATGGTAGAGCCATGCTATATATATTAGTAGTATAGTTGTAGCACGAATGAGTCGGCTCGACTGTGGAAGGATCACGCTCTCACAGAAAACCGGCGTAAAATAGCAGCGTTAAGCTGCTGTGTTTCATATGGTGAGTGTAGAGAACCGGAGACCCTTTTTACTGGCAAAGAGGCATTCCATCTTAGTCCTTACGGGTGACAACGCATTTGCATCTTGAGTCTTTATTGATGATAGATGTAGATGTCTATGGGTCACAGTAACTACTTACCATCAGGTGGACTGTGTACTCGTTTGTCACCCTATCCTACAAAAAAGATATGTCGTGTTCGTGATCGACCGGTTGATCGCCATTGACTTGTTGCCTACCTTCTATATGGTTGAAGTAAACTTATTAATGTATTTTTGTATAGTTATGGTCTGATTAGTATTTATTTGGGTTTAACATCCTCTATCAAACTGACTCGAACTTTATTCATTAGATTTTTTCGAATTTAGTGTTGCCCTTCTTAAATATTCAGGGGTTCATGTTTATGTTATATCAAATTTGTTTTTGAAGAAAACTGAATTCTTTTCAATTGAAATAGTGTAATAATGAGGTTATAATAACTTCGATATTACATTAAATTAATTACACAAATGAGGGCTAATAATTTTTTGCTCACATGATGTCGCTAGTTTTGACTAAGGTGAAGTTGGTGGCTGAAAAGTTGTGAAAACCCTCATTTAATCTCTTGAATTTGAATGATACATTAATACCTATAAGATATTTCCTAAAAAACTTGATGTACTTACCTGAAAATAGTGTGATAGTAAAAATCAAGACATACTATGTAATTTTTAATAGAATCAAGGCAACTACTTTCAAAAAGCTAATGGAAGTAATGAATGTTTGAAAAATTTGCTGTTAAGTAATAATGTAATAAACTTTTGACTAAAGTTTTATGCTTTATGAAAACGTTCAATATTTTATTACAGCTCTGCTCAAACTACAGAAAAACCATCCGTAAGCAGTTTGCACTCAAACATCAACCAATATCCAAAAAATGATTCAACTAATGCCTCATACATACCACCGTCGTCTTTCAACACATACCAAAACAACTCCCTGTTCAATTACTCGCCGCCAAACGATCAAAATGGCTACAATTTCAACATGCAAAACGGCTACGGTAGCTCAAACGGATTTGTCAATTATCCCGACAACGATCTCAGCAATCAACTGGTTATGGAGCCAGTCACAGAGACCGTAACTCCTGAGCAGTTGAATCTCCTCAGGTTGGCGGCTCAAGAAATTGGCGGTGCCCAATTCACCAGTCCGAAACAATACGACTATAATTTTTACGAACCGAGCCAAAGAAACTCATTACCTGATACCAACATATTCTCAGCCAATACCTACAATAGACCCAACAGTCTTAACCTGGACATGAATTTCAACTCCAACTACGACAACTCATATAGCGTTCAGAGGTTTCCTAATAAATTCGAAAATTCATACCTGAAAGACCAAAATCAGGATTCGAGCGAACTGATCTCTTCTTACTTAAGCCAAATGAATGTGATTGATCGGAGCAGAGATGAAGTCTTGCCGAACAACGATTACAAATACGAAATGAACGGCCACTACCCGAGCGATGAGTTCAATAAAATGCATGACGATAGAAACAAAATGTTCTACAATCGAAATTACCTTAACAAGAGCTTTAATGGGGAAAACAATTTCTTTTACAACGATTTATCGAGCGAGCGGAATGCGCTAGGTCAGAACTACGATTTCCCGAATCAGACAACGCAACCCTCTGCTACCAATCCAATGAATTACAAACCGAACGGTTTCCACCCTCAGAACGATTTTATGCAGAGGCGTGACATCAATCAGATAATTCCGCGTGACAGTTTCCAAGGCAATGGAAACATGGAGCAGAGGCCGAATTTCGATGGTGGCTTGGGGCGGGAGGGTTCTCAGCAAGCGGCCGTGATAAGGCAGAACCAAGAGCTGGCGAGGCAGATGAGTCTGCTGATTAGGAATCGTCAGCCACCGAACCAATTGAATGTCGACGTGTCATTTCTGCACGAAAATACCCCTTATAACATTGGTGAGTTGATATTTATTCGATACTAGTATTTTCTTTAGTTTTGAAGTGTTATCCCTTTGTTTAATTCAACACTACTTTGATTGTGAGCATGGAGTATAGAGTAGAAAGAGAACCATCTCATATGGGGGGTTGTAAGTTGTAAAAGTGTCTAACTGTATACTGAAAATAGAGGTTCTAAAACCTACCACAATAGAGCTGGTGTCTGAAAAACTACGATATGAATATAGGCTGTTGCAGACAGAGTGAAGTCAGCTGAATTCAAATATTTAAAAATTTTCATGAGTAGAGTAGTTAGTAAAATACCAGTATACAAAACCTCAACTATTTAAGTAGTACAAAACCAAGTGGATTGGTCGGTCCTTGTTTATTTCTCCATCTTATTCTAATTACTTTTGGTGCTTATTTTTTAATTTATCCTATGCTACCGCAGCGCCACCCTTATTGGACGCGTTTTTACGACACTTATTCTGATACAGAGATAGTTCTCCTACTCTATACTCCATGATTGTGAGGCGAAGACGTCGTGCATTCGAATCTGCAGTTCGATTACTACCAATGAACCACTTATAGGTTCTGGCACAAGAATTTCAATCTCAGTTGGAGTGGTTAGCACTTAGCAGTAATAGTGTAACTGTAGTGCTGGTGTCAGTAGTGTTAATAGCGTTTTATAAAGGAGTACCCAGTCAGTCAGTGAGTTCTCGGTTTAGGTTTCCCCAGACTCCACTTCGGTCATAGCTTCTTACTGCAACTATCTCCAACTTATAAAAAATCAGTATTTGTGTATCATACCCGCAACCATCCTATACAACCTTCGTTGAACTTGCAACAGTAATGCAGTCGGAATGCGGTTCCAAAACAAATGTAATATACTACATGCTATGCTGTTTTTATTTTTTTGTCGTAAGAAATTAAAACTTAGTTTGTCAAACGTCATTTTCTACCGATTTCAAAAAGGAGACGGTACTCAATTTGACTATGTTTACTTTTTCTGGGTGAACCGATTTCGATGATTCTTTTTTATTTGAAAGGTGGTGCTTCTCATGTGGTCTCATATAAATTTGATCAAAGTCTGACCAATAGTTTTTGAGTTATTCTTAATAATTTATATTGAGGTTGGTTGTACTAAATTTTTAATTATTATATTAGTGTAATTACCGTTTCAAAATGATCTCTGACCAGATCTGACCAGAGAAACGGTTAAAGAAACTGCAGACTTCATATTTTTTTGTTATTTTCAAAGGTCAATATAGCAATAGTTGTTTAATTTTTTTTTTTAATTACTTGTTAAATATTTATGTTTCTCCGTGATTTTAGGTTTAGGCGCGCTGCTTGCCCCAAGTACATCTGTACCACCGCCAGTTATACCATCGCCAATGTTAGACGTCCCTCTGTTGGCGCCCTTTTATACGATGCGGAATGGGAGGTAAGGAATGGATGTATCCTGTAAAACTTTCCCTGTGTGGGTCTCCCTGTTGTAGAGATTTTCCGTTTTATCGTCATACTTGAAAAGCATATTTGCGATTTGTCTGTAAAATAAAATACCATAATTCAGGGAAATACGTTGTTGTGGTAGGTAAGAAAAGTTTATTTCACATCACAAAGAAAAAAAATTAACCCGAAATAAAAAGGCTAATGCCAAACTAGTGTACTTAACTAACATTATTTATTAACCCGTGTAGTGGTGGGTAAGAATACCCACTATCCCATATCTTCCCGTGGGTGTCGTAAGAGGCGACAGAAGGAAACTGAGGCTGAAAATCCTCAGGGCAGCAGCATCTTTCTGGTAACAGCAAAATAACTAAAAAAAACTGCGGTCGCCAACGCCCTCTCCAAGCCTGGCAAATATTTACCATATACCGCCCACGAATGAATAAAGTTACGAAGAGACGGCGCCCAGTCCTGGCAGCCCCGCTATTTCTGGCTACGGTGGCAACCATGGTAACGGGTAGGAGGTGCTAAGAATCTCCGGTGGAGGTTCGGTTCCCACCTAAGACGACTCGACCTGGTAACATATAACGCACGCACCCTGAGGACTGACGAGAAGATCCTGGAGCTGGAAAAACAGATAGACAAGTTGCACTGGAATATTTTAGGATTATCCGAGGTCCGAAGAGAGGGGGAAGACACGGATCCTCGAATCCGGAAAATTGTACTATTACCGGGAGGGCGACCATCTGTCCCAAGGAGGTGTCGGATTTATCGTCCACAAGTCTCTTATTAACAACGTTGTAAATATTGGGAGTGTGTACGGGGGTTGCGTACCTTATACTCAGAATCACCAAACGGTATTCGCTGAAGATCATACAGGTTTACGCACCAATCTCGGCACATCCTGATGAGGAGGTGGAGGAAATGTATGAGGATATATCTAGAGCTATGCATTCCTCCAAAATACACTATGTTGTTAATGGGAGGCTTCAACGCAAAATTAGCTACAAGAGAGAATGGTGAGCTGGAGGTTGGGAAATTACGAGAAAGGCAATGGAACCCAAGGGGCCAGCAGATGGCCAACTTCATGGATAAAGAGGGACTCTTTATGATGAACTCTTCCAGAAGGGGCCCTACAGGAAGTGGACCTGGTCGAGCCCCGACGGTTCGACGAAAAATGAGATTGACTTCATTATGACGACTAGGCGGCAACTGTTCAGTGATGTCTCAGTGATCGCGAGGGTGAAAACTGGCAGCGATTACGGAATGGTTAGAGGCACACAACCTAAACGTTAAGTTGGAAAGGTCTCGTCTAATAAAGTCAGCGCTCCGTCCCCCTTGTGCTCCAAAGTACCGAAACCATTCAGCTCGAGTTACAAAACCGTTTTCAGTGCCTAGAAGACTGTACTGAAGTGGACGATATGAATGACAAGCTTGTGGAAATTGTTCACGCGCGGTCGGAGCTAAGTTTTGCAAGACCCGTCGCAGTAGAACACAAAAATATCTCTGATCACACTGTTAATTTCATGGCTTCTAGACGGGAAATGAAGCTGCAGTCTTCAGCAGATTTGACAGTATACAGGTAACTGAACAGACAGATCTCCAAATGCATGCGGCGGGACTTACGCAACTTTAATACAGCTCGTATTGAAGAAGCGATCAAGCTGAACCATAGCTCCCAAAGTCTTTGTTAGGGATCTGTATGCCAGAAAGAGCCAACTATCGAAGCTGAAAACCGAATGTGGCAGCATCGTTTCCGGGACACCTGAGATTTTGAGTGAGATTGAGCGGTTCTATGGGCAGCTGTACACATCATTGTTGGAACCACACGCAAGTTTGAGTAACGATCCAAGAGCAAGGCTTATCCAACACTATTCGGATGATATTCCAGACGTCAGTCTAATCGAGATTAGAATGGCTCTCCAACACCTTAAAAACTGCAAGTCACCGGGCGAGGATGGAATTACAGCTGAGCTTCACACATCTTCTCGTCAGCTATACCTCAAAACTTGAAAACGAGACTGTATAACCAGTGCGTGTTGCCAGTGATGACCTATGGAACTGAGATGTGTTCCTTCACTGCTGGCCGTATGAGGAAACTCAAGATCGTTCAGCGAGCTATGGAGAGGGGTATGCTCGGGGTTTCTCTGCGTTATAAACTTAGAAATTAGGATGTCCGCAGTAGAACCAGAGTGACCGACATAGCCCAACGGATTAGTAAGCTGAAGTGGCAATGGGCCGGCCATATAGCTTGGAGAACCGACAACCGATGGAGAAAAAAGGTTCATGAATAACAGCCACGTACCGTGAACTCGTAGGTGAAGTTTACGGCGACCCACCAATAGATGGAGTGACGACCTGGTAAGACATGCAAGAGGCTCAGGACCGTGATTTGTGGCATTCCTTGGGGGAGGCCTATGTTTAGTAGTGTACTTGTGAAGGGCTATAATGATGATGAATTATTAATAATGTTATGCAAGTTTATATGTGGCAGAGCCATGCTGCAGCTATATTAATAGTATAGTTGTAGCACGAATGGGTCGGCTGCCGGGGAAGGACCACACTCTCACAGAATACCAGCGTAAAATAGCAGCTTAACACTGCTGTGTTTCGTATGGTGAGTGTAGAGAACCGGCGACTCTTTTTGCTGGAAAAGAGGCATTCCATCTTAGTCCTCACGGGTGACAGCGCATCTGCATTTTGATTCTTTATTGAGGATAGATGTGGATGTCTATGGGTCACAGCAAACACTTACCATCAGGTTGACTGTGTGCTCGTTTGTCACTCTATCCTATAAAAAAAAAGTACCACCTACATTCATAACTACTTATAACAATCTATGATATAACACTATCATAGTTAACGTAAACGACATAGTTGTGTCGCTGTTGTAGTCAGGATAAGAACATCCATAAACCCATATCGTTCCATGGGTGTTGTAAGAGGCGACAGGGGAAACAAATCAGGAGATGAGCAGCAGCGTCTTCCTAATAACAACTATAAGAAAACTGCTGTTGCTAACCCACCTGCCAAGCGTGGCAGCTATGGCAAATTATGAGTAAAAAATATCGGTCAATCTATAGGAGAGGTCTATGTTGGCCTATGATTTCTACAAGGCTGGAATGGAGGTATTTATAGGTGAGGCTTTAATTTAGCAATGGACTTTATTAGGCTGGTATGAATGGATAAATTAACTATTAAAAACTTTTTTATTCAATATCTAATGTAATATTTAAAAATTAATTTTTAGTTTGTTCCTATTTTATGCGCTGCCGTACCGTTTTGCTTGCACTTCCGCAAAGGTTATAGGCATAGTACAATTAACTTACAGTAGGTGGCGCGCGTATAGTATCGAGAAATTTGTTTGAAAGATCTATATCATTCAATTTCAATGCATGTATTATCATTCCTAATTAAACAATATAACCCTTCCAAATTTACAACAATATTTCCACAATAATTTCTTCTGCGATTATAAATATTACTTATTGAAAGCCATTTAACTTTTACTTAACTTTTATTTTACTAGTACATAATATACCTAGTCAGGTCATAAGTATTGTCACACAGTAAAAACTTTTCTTTTAGAATGCTGGCCACAAAAAAGTTTATTGAATTCGAATATCGAATTGTTCATGAAAATAAAACTGTATACTTTTTAGAATTTTACTCATTTTTAAATATGGAGTGGACGCTTAAAGAAGACCGTGTTGCATTTATTGCGTTGCATCGTTGCGGTTACGCGCCAATTCACATTTTTGACATACTGAAAAATTTGAATATAACCAAAAGATTCGTTTATCGTACCATCAAACGATACAATGAAGACTCTAGTGTAGATGACAGGTCAAGCAGTGGTCGCCCTCGGTCTGTTAGGACTCCAGCAGTGATAAAAGCTGTGAAGGCGCGAATTCAAAGAAATCCCAAACGTAAGCAGAAACTGTTGGCCCTTCAGATGGGGTTAAGCAGAACCACGGTGAAAAGGGTGTTAAATGAAGACTTAGGGCTTCGGGCATATCGAAGAAAAACAGGACATCGTTTGAATGCTCGTCTAATGGACCTGAGACTGAAGAGATGTCGCGCTTTGTTGAAGCGGTACGCGGGAAAAAATATCGGGAAATTATTTTTTCGGATAAAAAAATTTTTACCGTAGAAGAGAGCTACAACAAACAAAATCATAAGGTGTACGCACACAGTAGTGAAGAAGCGAGCAACCGTATTCCGCGTGTCCAACGAGGTCATTTTCCATCCACGCTCATGGTATGGTTGGGAGTTTCTAATTGGGGCTTAACAGAGGTACATTTTTGTGAGAAAGGTGTAAAAACGAATGCAGTTGTGTATCAAAATACAGTCCTGACGAATCTTGTGGAACCTGTTTCTCATACCATGTTCAATAACAGGCACTGGGTATTCCAACAAGATTCGGCGCCAGCTCATAGAGCGAAGAGCACACAAGAGTGGCTGGCGACTTCATCCGGCACGAAGACTGGCCCTCCTCCAGTCCAGATTTGAATCCGTTAGATTACAAGATATGGCAACACTTGGAGGAAAAGGCGTGCTCAAAGCCTCATCCCAATTTGTAGTCACTCAAGACATCCTTGATTAAGGCAGCCGCCGATATTGACATGGACCTCGTTCGTGCTGCGATAGACGACTGGCCGCGCAGATTGAAGGCCTGTATTCAAAATCACGGAGGTCATTTTGAATAAACTTTAGTGTCATAAGAATCTATGTTTTGTTAAGTTCATTTTGGTATATAAATGTTTACATAATGAATAAACTTGTTTCAATTATTTTATATTAAACATGTGACAGAATTTATGACCTGACTAGGTATAATATGTACTTAATATATGTATATAACTACATAGCCTTATGCATATAGGGTTATATACTACATGACTATATGACGCGACTTCGCCCGCGTGGAATTTATTACAATTGGATTTCATGGATTTTAATTTTTGCACGGAATCCTAATTATTTTTCTAAAATAAAAGTAACCTAAGTTACTCTTTATAACATCAGCTAACTGCCAGTGAAAGTCCCATCAAAATCGATCTAGCCATTTTGGATATTTGCCGGAACAAACAGACAGACAAAAATTTTACAAATTCTTTGTTTGGTATAAGTACATTATATACTTTAATATACATATAGAGTCGACTCTCGATAATTTGACTCATTAATTTGAATCTCTCGATGATCTGAAATTTTTTTCCGGTCCCTTAAAAAATACTTGATAAATTGAATAAAATCAATATTAATTGGTCCCCTCGGTAATTTAAGTTGAAGGAATAGTATCTTGCCCGTCAACAAGCAATAATTTTAAGTCTAGGCTTCCCTACTCTCGTTAATTTGAAGAGTTTATCATGCACAGACCTGTCGTTTGTTTAGGTGCATGTACATACGTGTCGATTTTTTTTACATAAATGAGAGAGACTTCTTTTCAAAATGAACATCTATACAAATAAATAAAATTGAAGTGTCTGTTTGTAATGTCAAAATTACAGTTTTTTACTAAATGCATATGAAAGTAAATACGATACCTATAACTAAAATACAATTTTTAAAATTTTTGTCTGTCTGTCTGTTTGTTTGTTCCGGGTAATCTCCGAAACGGCTGGACCGATTTTGACGGGAATTTCACTGGCAGATAGCTGATTTCATAAGGAGTAACTTAGGCTACTTTTATTTTAGAAAAAGAATCAGGGTTCCGCGCAGAAACATAAAAACCCTAACACGCGAACGAAGTCGCAGGGAACAGCTAGTTTGTGAATAATTGTACAAACATTAAAAATAATAAATCAATAATTTTGATCAAACTCTTGTTTACTTGATTTTTTATACCTCCCTCTTGGTTATCTAAAATCCCGTTATTTTGAACTCTTGGTAATTTGAAATTTTTCTCTGGTCCTTGACTTTGAAATTATCGAGAGTGGACTGTAGTAAAAAGTTGTTAGTTTAACATTACAGACACTTCAATTTTATTTATTTGTATAGTATAAGAAGCATTAAAGCTGCTGTTAATTGCAAATATGTACTGATTTGCTATGTGCAATGGTGCACATGCAAACGTCGTCAAAGAATAACACTGAGGAATCTTACATGTCTGAGATCTTTACTGGTCATTCTAGAATCCTGGATCCAGATTACCAAAAAAGATGACTATTTAATTTCAGGAACGCAGCAACTTCGTCTGGAATACTCCACGCACGTCTGGACGCATGCTACGAACAATGGCGTCAGCTCGAAAGGGAACGTAAGCGAACGGAAGCGAGGCTGGCGTTAGCGTATCCCGGAAGAGCTGTTTCCTCTTCCAACTCTATCCCAGTACCCAGGCTTCCACCGTGTCCCACCCGGGTCGACAGGCTGACTGTTGATATGTTACGGGAACACACGAAGGTAAATATATCTTTTTTATTTTGTCTTTTAATTTGTATTTATTTGGATGGCTCTATGGCTCAGTGGCATAGCATTGAGTTGCATCGTTAAGAGCCGATGGTTCGATATCCGCATGGAACAAGCATTTGTATGGCTTACTAATAATTGTTCCGAATGTAGATGTTTGTCTTTGTGCAATTTAACTTAGTGAACTGTTTCCACAATACACGAGATGATCCTAGTCTGTAGGGGTAATATTTTCTTTTTTAACCCCTGATAAAAACAGAGAAGTGTTATGTTTGTAGTGTGTATCTGTGTGTTTGTGTGTCTGTCTGTGGCATCATAACTCTTGAACGGATGAACCGATTTAGATAAAGTACTTAACTATGTTTCAAGATTTATTCAGCGGTTTGAAAATTGTTAGCTTGTTTTGTTTCGGGGTTTTTTTTAATTTAAGTTATTGAATATTTGTAAACAGACCATACTATAAATGAAGACCATTTTGCTTTCGACGTAGTTGCTCATTATAGCTCTTGATTTATTTCGAACCGTTATTTTACTTGCTCACGTCTCATCATAGTGCATCGTTTTGCTATGTATTGAAGAATTCTAAATCACAAAACTATTTATGATATGTGAACCATATTCATCTTTAATGAATCGTTATTAATGAGTGACGTTTGTGATCCCACTACATACTATAATGAGTCTACTAACCATCAGAAACTAGAATTTTGTCTGTATAAAGCCATTTTTTACTACACCTCGTTTTCAAATTACTTTATAACAAAATGAATGCAAAAATAGAGATTTATGAGAATGTCAACTTTTAATTGTAAAACTGCTGTCCGCTCTTTCCTGCTACATAAGTCATGTGAAGATATAGAACAATACTTGTTAATTATAAATTTTTCTACTTAATGCATACACATGCACGAGCACACCCCCACACACATACTCACGCCAGATTTTTTATGTCTTTTCAATATTGTTATTTCATTTCCTGCAAAAATTAAAATTAATCTAAAGAATACAATTGTAATACTAATCAAAAGGGGGGGTTAGATATGTATTTCCTAAATACAGGTTCCTAAGTAACCTAGCTAGGAGACTCAGGATTCTACCTCCACATGATGTATCATAATATATATATCTGTAAAAAGTATGTAAGCTATAAAAATGTCAATAAAGAATTAATATTATTTTTATTAGAATGAATTTATCATCATTATTTATGTTCAAAGAAATGTCTTGTGAGAGTTTGATTTCTTACATTTGAATATTAAACCTATTTGATATAAAAATCTATCCAATTTGATTTGAAACACAATAAAATAAATTTATATTTTAATTATTCCCACCAGGTATTAACTCTGATGGGTAAAATGGAAACCCTGAGGGCGAGCGTTTGCGTCGCACAAAACAAAAAGCCGAACAAGCCTGAGGACGGCAAGATAACAGTATTGAAGCGCGGACAGGAAAATGTTGCCAGTGAGAAGGAGAAAGAGAATGGCGTCGACCCGGCCTCCTTCGATCCCAGCACTTGGCGTGAGGATGTGAAGAACTTGGCCGAAATGTGAGTTGGCACCATTATTTTATAAACAATAGCTTGCCCAGCACATGTTGTTTTTTGTTTTGTTTTTTTTTTATATATATAAAATGGAGTGACAATAAGCATACAGTCCACCTGATGGTAAGTGGATGCTGTGGCCCATAGACATCTACATCTATCCTTGATTAAGAATCAAAATGCAGATGCGTTGTCACCCCTGAGGACTAAGATGGAATGTCTCGTTTCCATTAAAAAGGGTCTCCGGTCTCTACACTTACCATACGAAACACAACAGGTTTAGCTGCTATATTACGCTGGTATTCTGTGACAGCGTGGTCCTTCCCCGGTCGAGCCGACTCGTGCTACAACCATAATATAGTTGCAGCGTGGCTCTACTACGTTAAAGTGGCTCTGCCCTTTCAGCTAGGCGGCGCGATGAGTTTGATTCCGTATTAATAAGTCGTTTTTGTAACCACTGACGTGCAGTTGACGCATTAGTAGATTTTAGTTTTCTCTGGATTTGCATTAATATTTTACAAAAATGTCTGTTTGTCTGTTTGTTTACTGGACAAGAATTTACTTTGAAGACCATAAAAATTACAAGAGACGTGTTTTTGACGAGAGAAATTTATTGGACTCTTATGAAAAAAGTAAAATAGAAAAAAGTAAAGTTTTGCCTGAAAAGTAGTTAATATTTGTATTTTTTTAACTTTGCCTTTGCTTTTTTTTTAATAGACTTCAAAAAAGGGATGATATACTCAATTCGACTTTTTTCTATGAGTTACCTCAGAACTTTTTTCTAGGTGAATTTTTATGTTGTCCCATATTAATTTGATCAAGATCTGACCAGTAGTTTTTGAATTATCCTTAATAATGCGTATTTAATTGTCTTCGACTACATTGATGATGTTCTTATTTTATTTATATTGAAGTCTAAGTTGTACAAAATTTTTAGTTTTACCACTTGTTTACAATTAAATAATTATGCCCAAAATAAAATTATGAAAAATTATGGTATATCAAAATGATTCGTACTAGTGGCTTGGTACTCATGCAGTTACACAGAACATTGCACATGAGTAGATAAACGGAACAGAGACAAAGCTTCTTAAGAGCGTGCAAAATTGTTACCTATTTTGATAGGGTTGTCACAATAGGTGAAGACAAATTAAGTAAAACATTAATTTGTTAAATAGTTTTATTATTCAGTATGATAGAATACTTCACGAATTACTTACTCTGTTAATTTTCTTTTTATATTTTTTTTTAATAATTTATTGTTTCTTTTAATGGTGTGGTAAATTCTGAATCTAAGATAAAGTTTTTTCAAGTAATCTAACGGGAAACACTCACATGGCATATCAAATTTACAATCTTTAATACTTTTAAGTATTTCGTTGCCAACATTTACAAGGAGTTCCAGGTTGAGGGGTTCCCTCGTGTGGAGACTATCGTATTTGCAGCAGTAATTTATGGTGAAGATCATGTTTAGCAAACAAAATTAAATTTTAATACAAAGTTTCGAGTCCATGCTACTAACAGTTAAAGAGTTCCCTCGTAAGGAGACAATGCTGGCTGCAGTAGCAGTTCGTGATAAAAATTGTGTTAAACTATCAAAATTTAACTAACATACAACATTCCGTGACACTGCTACTACCCGTGGAAGAGTTTTCTAGTGAGGAGACAATCCTAGCTGCAGCATCAGGTTATATCTATCATATTATTGCATTGTCACTGAAGTTACGGTATACAAAATTTCAACTCAATCAGACATCGCAATCGCAATATATGAACTTAATACACATACCTACTACATACCAACTAATACCTACTTATATTTAGAAAGAGCTTGTAATAACAATAAAAAGGTAAATATCACACCGTGTCGTGATTATACAATAAAATAAAGGTACTTACTTGAAAAAGTAATAATCAAATATTTACTTACCTATTGTACTCCTTGCGATAGTTAAAGTATGATATATTTTAATTTTTTAGTATTATTCATACACACACTATACAATAAACAACCATTATTAATAATACCACGTTTTTACATTAAAATATTCAAACTTGCCACTAACAAAACCAACAACGTGCGTCGCACTGACCCTGAGATCGTTGTCCACTGGCTGTGCCAACGTACAGATTTATTCCAGTCTCGGCCCGTACGCGACAATCGGCCAGTGGTCACGCACACATGCGCCGCGTGCTTGTAGTAGTGCAATCAATTCGCGTGGTTGTATCAAGCTTTACCTGTGTTCCGTTTATTTACTCATGTGATTGTAGTACTTATGCGTCAATATTACGCCGTTCTAGGGCAATCGACAAAAATTTTGACTTAGGCTTAATCATCTCTTAGATCAGTGTATAATATATTTTATTTACTTATAATATTTTTCTTTCATTCCAGTGCACCTCACAGTGAAGTGGAGAGCGCCATGTTAGCATGGCGTAGTGCTGTAGCCGGTGTCCAAGCGGCTAGGAGGAGGGAACTGGCCCCCCATAATTCGAATCAAGGACGATACGTTCGACCCGATCGTAAGTTTAATTTTTATAGATATATGATATATGACAAATTCTGCTAGTCACCAATTTAAAAGGCAGGCTGGCTATTTATACAATGTAGTCAACAAGAAACTAAACATTTATTCACTGAACTCTAATAGGGCCTATACACCATCGGTCATGATGGACGAATTCTAGCGATCACGATCGTGTGGAGGGCATAATGGCCTGTAGCTGCCCATGATCAGTGATGATTGAGCGTAATGGCTGCTGTGTCGATTTTTCGGACAAACATCAAAGAAAGTTCGGCCAAAATCTTGCGCGCTTCTACATAATCGCCGATGCTCAATAAATTTACCTACTTACCTTGTTCTAATTCGGTGTATAGTTAACATCCACTTTCTTTCCATCCATTTTTTCAACACTCTTTTATGGTGTACATTAATAAATAATGGTTATATTATAAACTAGTTAAATAAATAGCGGCAGCTGCTAATGTTTCAACATTCATCTTGGACAGATGACGATTGTGTGGGCAGCTGTGCAATGATTGTGACAATCATGCCCCATTCTGTGGTTTTCAATCATGGCCGATGGTGTATAGGCCCCATAATGAGTTAAAAATTTTTTTTTAGAAATAAGAAAAGACACATTTTATAGACGCACACAAACACACATGTGTACACACACACAAATAAACAATTTTTCATTTTTCATGATATTATGTGCTAGTGATGTTGTTGAATAGATTTGACTGTCATTACTTGAATCATTGTTTTATGATTCATGTACTGAAAAAGAGCCGCGGTAGCTCAGATGGTTAGCGCTCGCTGTAAGCTTCACAGTACTCGAGTAACCCGGGTTCGATCCCCGCCGGCACCAATGAAATTGTTAATTGCAGTTTTAAGTGCTGATTTACCACGTGCTCGGCGGTGAAGGAAAACATCGTGAGGAAACCTGCATGTCTGAGAAATAAAAATATTTCGAAAACATGTGAAGTTCGCTAACACGCATTGAGGCGGCGCGGCGGACATTTCCTTGCCCTAAAACCCTCTCAGAAATGAGTGGAGGCCTGTGCCCAGCAGTGGGACGTAAATAGGCTGCAACTTTAACTGAAAAATGAATAATCTGAAGTCAACTATGTACCTACTCAGAGATTTTTTTATTCACTTATTTTTCATCTAATATTCTTTTGAACTTTTCTTCATTATTATAATTAATTACTAACAATAGGCTATGTTATAACCCAATTCTACTAATTATGTAATATCTGTGTTGGTCGAAATAAAGACATTATTATTATAAAGATGCTAAACGAGCGCACAGTCCACCTGATGCTAAGTGGATGCTGTGCTTCATAGATACCTACATCTTTTCTCGATTAAGCTTAAATAGATGAAAGACCTAAGATGGAATGCCTTGCTACCTGATAAAAAGTACTGTTCTCTACAATTACCATACGAAACACGGTTGAATTACGCTATAAAATACTTCATCCTCATTGTTGCAGTCCATCAAAGTCCACTGCTGGACATAGGCCACCCCATAGATTATCTCATAGAGAAGGCTCACTCTGTAAGTGGGTTAGCAACCTCAGTTTCTTTATTATTTTCTAGTTGTCATGAGGAGGATGCTGCTATCCATCTTCTGGTTTGTTTCCCTCTTTCGCCTCTTACGACACTCACAGGATGATATCTATTACAGCCTATGAATGTCCACTGCGGAACATTGACCTTCTCCATAGATTGCCTCTTAGAGGGAATTTTGCCATAGTTGGCATGCTTGGTGAGCGGGTTATCAGCCGCAATTGTTTTATTATTTTTAGTTGTTATCAGAAAGATGCTGCTTGTCCATCACCTGTATTAATTTCCCTCTGTCGCCTCTTACGACACCCACAGAATGATATGGGATAGTGCATATGATATGATGATAATGATAATAAGTTATTATTCAATAAAAAATTTAAAATTTGTGTTTGTTTCAGCGATCCTCCAACTAGCGGATGCTGTGAAACAACTGGGGATATGCGCTCGTAGAGCCAGATGTGCCATGTGGTGTGATTTAACACTGACCGTTGCTTTGGCCCCACCTCATACTCCACCACCCACTCCTCAAACTCCCCAATCTTGCAAGGTGAGTCATATTGTAATAATTTAAAATAAAAAAATTTCTACAACCGACTTCAATATAAACTATTAAGAATAACTCAAAAACTATTGGTCAGACCTTCAGATCAAATTCATATGGGACCACACGAGATGTATTAGCTTTCAAATAAAAAAAGAATGATGGAAATCGGTTCACCCAGAAAAAAGTTATGAGGTACACATAATAAAACAAAAAAAAAAACATGCAGTGGAATTGAGTACCGTCTCCTTTTTGAAGTCTGTAGAAAATCTGAGTGACCCGACCCGACAAGAATCTAAACAAGGTTATTTAACTTGTTAAGAATCTCTTCCTCTAATCTCCAATTGTTCTCTGTTTACAGAGTGACAACCCAACTCAAACGCCGTCTCAAATGCTCTCGCCGAAACAGAGCGTGCAAGACAATAACCAACATTTGATTCAGGGCAGTAACAAACAAACTGGGGGAGAAGTAAAAGAGGTAAGGTTCTTTATCACAAACCCAATATTCCAGTCGGCTTTACGACATGCTAGGCAAGTTGAACTTGCCTATAAGGTGTATTATAAGAAAGAAAAAAAAAAGAAAAAAATCCTAAAGTGCACACTTCGACCGGAACAGTTTACAATAGTGAAATTCAAAAGGCTTCCTAAAGATTTAAATCTAAAGCTAAGACAAGTTTGGGCTCCACGGACTATCATGTAAGAAAAGTGCTAGTAGGTTTTCACTGCACGGTACTTTGAACGATGTCATTCGAAGGGCTCTTGTCTCTCTGGATAACTGGCGGTCCACCACTGTGCGATTTAAAAGAACACCTCGCACAACTTCCTTGTGGAATCGATTACTACCAGTGATTTTTCCGGACCGATACGACTTGGGGACCTTCAAGAAAAGAGCGTACTCCTTTTTAAAAGGCCGGCAACGCATCTGCGATTCCCCTGGTGTTGCAGTTGTTCATGGGCGGCGGTAATCACTTACCATTAGGTGAGCCGTATGCTCGTTTGCCCCCTCTTGTATAAAAAAATATGTTCCCTCGGTTTTAGAGCCTTGTGGAATATTTAGAGACAAGAAAAGAGAAAAAAATTTAGAGACGATGGTGGGAGACCCGACGGAATGACATTGGTCCCTTGGGAGAGAGGTAAAGCGCCTAGTGTGTGATGCTACTTGCGTAGACATTCGGCGGCGTCTCATCTCAGGGATACCTCGTTTAGAGCCGGGGCAGCATCAGAGGCAGCTGAACTAAGTGGCGCAAATATGAGTCTCTGAGAGATGACTATATATTTGTGCCATTTGCTGTAGAGACTATCGGTCCGTGGGGTACACGTGCCGTGAAGTTCCTAAAAGAACTACCCGCGACTGGCCGTTGCTGCTGATGATAAGAGGGCTGGTTCTTTTCTCGCTCAAAGGCTAAGTATAGCCATTCAGCGAGGAAAGGCAGCCAGCTTTATTGGCGGGGAGTAGGACTCTATGATAATTAAGTTATTAGTTTTGAAAAAAATTAAAAAAAAATTTAACAATTGATTTTTCATGCAATATTTTAGGTGAACAAGTTATCTGTGAACCTCGTTTTTTAAACTAATTAAACGCATAAAACCTTACCGGATTATCTATGGTCTGTCACTTTCGTCTAATCACTTACGAGTTAGGGTGCCTGTCTTGCGCGCTGTCACTGTCAAGTGTCTCTATGGTCATAGCATCTTCACCACCAGCAAATTTTATACTGCAACGCTGTGTGTTTTATTCAATGATACACTATTATTATATGTTTTTCTAAAACACGCAGCGTTTAGGTGAAGACGTGTTTGATATCTGCTGGGGAAATCAGGAAATATAAACACAAATGCTATGTGATAGTTCTGAAAATAATTTAATAATTAAAATTTTCAAATGGGTTATGGTTATAGCAATTTTTAAGAAACATCTTAGGACAAAATCATATAACTGTGAAAAATTAAAATTACTTTTAATTAAACTCAAATTATATCTCTGAGTAACCATCATAGCTAATCATAATCTAAAATCATAAAATCACTATAAATATATTAATATAGAGCTTTATTAATCTTAACAGTATGAGGATATATTTAAAACAAAAGCTTAATTAAATTATATTATTCAATTAAACTGGATAAAAATAAGATAACAAATCAGATTTATCCTTATTTTCTAACATAACTGGATGACAATAGAATTTTTTAAAGGATTTTTTTAACTGTGCCACTTTCCTCTTTTTAGTATTTCTACTACCGGTCTGTTTTCAAGCCAACCCTTGAAGCTACTGCTGACCGTATATTTCCTAGAGATGCTTCTATGTTTGCTGATTTAAATATAGTTTTAATCCGTCCTTGAGGCGGGTTTATGTTCTCTTTCACTCTTTTTACTTGTGAAGATTGAATTAACAATATATATATATAAATATTTATATCAGGATGTTTCAACAAATGTTGGTAAGTAGAAGAATCTGTCTTGGATTCATGTTCTGGCTAAAATAATACCTCATCATCATTTGTATCAATTTATCTTTTGAAATGTGTAACAGAGTAAGGTCATGAATTCAACGTCCAGATGCTAAAAGTAAGATTAATACAGTTCTTGAAATGTCAAAAAATGAATTTGTACTTAGGAGTTTCCTTCAACCAATTAAAAAGCAGTTTAATATCCCAAATTGGTTTTTTAAGTTTTGGTTTACCCACAGGTATTGCCTTAAGAATTTGGTGGACAGAGAAATTTGATGAAATTTTTTCAATGTTAGTACAATAAGTTGAAATAACTGATTTATGTAGAAGAATGGCGCTATATGCAACATTTTTGTCTAAGTATAATCTAGCCAAAAATTGGGCTACATCATTTCCACTAGGAGACCTAGGGTTTATTTTGTTGGTTTTACACCAGAAACAGAAACAGAAACTTTTTTATTCAATATAGATTATAAATAATACTTATTGAAAGTCACTCTTTTGTATGATTACCACTGGTTCGAAAAAAATACCTCTGTCCAGGGAAGAACCAGCAAGAAACCCAGCGGGACTTTTTTTTTAATAACAGCTTACAATCATGTATGTTACACAAATTAACAACACAACAAATTAGAAATAGCTTGGTAGCGATCACCTCATTTCCAGGGGTTATTATCATCTATAAATTCATTAATATTATAATAACCCTTTTTATACAAACTTAGTTTAATAAAGTTTTTGAACTTTGAGCAGGTCAAATTTTGTATATTTTCTGGAATTTTGTTGTAAAAGCGTATACATCGCCCTGAATGAATTACTGACTCGATGGAGTCGAGTAACTGGCACTACTAGCTTGTGTCTGTTCCTAGTATTTACAGAATGAATATCACTTATTTTTCTAAAACTACTTTTATTTTTGTGTACGCATATTACATTTTCATAAATGTATTGAGAGGCCAAAGTTAATATATTAATTTCCTTAAATTTTTGTCGCAGCGACTCTTTAGGCTTTAAATCATAAATTGCTCATATGACCCTCTTCTGTAAAACAAATATAATTTCAGTGTCAGCTGCGTGTCCCCATAGCAAAATACCATACGACATTATGCTATTGGAAATAGCTAAAGTAAACTAGTCTAGCTGTTTCAACACTAGTTAGACTTCTAATCTTTTTTACGGCATATGCTGCAGAACTAAGTCTGCTTGCTAGTTTTGATATATGGGGGCTCCATTGAAGCTTCGCGTCTAGTGTGATTCCAAGATAAATGGTGGTATCTACAAGACTCAGTTTCTCCCCATTTAAAATTACATTAGTATTTAATTGTTTGACATTTTGAGTCATAAATTTCATACATTTCGTTTTAGTGCCATTTAAATGCAAATTATTAACATTGAACCAATTTACTAATTTAGACATAGCATTATTTACTTCGTCATATTTTAGCAATTGTCGACTTAATTTGAAAATTAAAGAAGTGTCATCTGCAAATAATACTATATCATGGTTATCTCCTACTATGTAAGGTAAGTCATTAATGTATACAAGAAACAGAAAGGGGCCGAGAATTGAGCCTTGAGGCACGCCCATTTGTACCATCGTCCCGGAAGAACTCATACCGTTAATGACAACTTTTTGCATTCTCTTACTTAAATATGAAATAATTAATTTAAGAGCATCACTTCTTACACCGTAGTGTTGAAGTTTCCTGATTAATGTTTCATGGTGAACACAATCGAAGGCTTTGGATAGGTCACAAAATATACCCAAAGCATCCTGTGAATTCTCCCATGCATTAAATATATATTTAATCAGCTCAACACCGGCATCAGTTGTCGAGCGACCCCTTGTGAAACCATATTGATTTTTATGAAGTAAATTATTTATATTAAAAAATTTAACATTTACATAACAGGCGCGATTGTATCTATTATAGACGCAATAACTTTAACGGAAATCCCCCACAGATCCGCAGTTTTCTTAACAATATCTTTTGATGATACTTTATGAAATGCAAAATTTTTTGTACACGCATTTACATTTTGTTTAAGTAATGATTCGGCGACCGCAGGAGAAGAATTCAGTGACTTAGTGGTTAATATCGGAATATCAGTAAAATATTTCTCGAAAACCATTGCAACGTCCTGATCTGATTCGGTTAATTTGTTACTAACACTTAACTGGTAGTTTGAATTGCGAGAGTTGATCTTACCAGTTTCGCTATTAAATATACTCCATGTCATTTTAATTTTATTAGAAGCCGTCTTAATTTTGTTGCTCAAATGCAAAGACTTGGCTGTGGAGCACACTCTTTTAAATATTTTTTCACATATTCCCTAAATTCGACGCTATGATTATATGACCTTTCATGGTAAAGATCATATAACCTATGTCTGCTCCTATGGACTCCTACTGTCGCCCATTCATTTAATGACTTCCGGACTGTTCAAGGAGAATATTTTAGAAGTAAAAGTATTATTAAATTCATTGCAAAGTCCACCTTCTGATTGGTGGACCATATGTTACTAATGTAGACTTTCTCCAGCTAGTGGTTAATAAATCTCTTTCCTCTCGCCTCCAGTGAGCTACTTAGTTATCCCACCCCCCAAACTTCCACGCTAGGAACGTTAGCTCCTTTATCTGTGGAGGAGGTAGATTCGTGGTCAAGTTTATTAGGTTTGTTTCCAAATTTGGTATTGGTAATGGATCTGTTAATGCTCTCGCTTGTAGATCTGGAAACCAATAGCATTGTCTCCACTGAGGAGCTATTATTATGTAAATCCCTCTTAGGAGGAGGGAACACCCAACTTAGTTCCCAGTCGTATTGGCGACTGAAGGCGTCGTAGTACTCTGCGCAGCCATATTTTGAGTCTAATGGAACGTATCTTGGAACTACGGTGCTTCTTTCTGATGCAAACAAAATCTCTGTTGGGTGTGCCCCACTGATGGAATATGGCCTCCGAGTCCTGGGGCAGTAGGTGCCACTGAGGCCTACTTGCCCCTAGGCCGACCTCTTGACAATCGATCCGCTATTCCGTTCAACTTTAGTGGCAGGTAACACGCCGACAGCGTCACATTGAGCTGATTGATCGGTCAGTTCTAGCAATTTTGTTGTTAAATCCAGAAGTGCTATTGATCTTGTTCCTCCTTCGTTACTTACATAATATACGAGGGTGGATTGAAAAGTACTCGGCCTAACCAAAAAAATAAACAAATACTAAATCAGTTATATTTTTATTTTTCTACATAATCACCATCAAGTTCAATACACTTTTGCCACCTCCCCTTCCAAGCATTTAGACCGTTGAAAAAAAATGATTCTTCCTTAGAGTCAAAATATGCGTCTACAGCTGCTTTGACCTCGTCGTTTGTCGAAAATCTTTGACCTCCCAAGTGCTTTTTTAGGTTAGGGAACAGAAAGAAGTAAAAGTATTTCTTTTATTTTCAAAATCATTTTGAGGCAATGTTGCTATCATTTTCTGTGTGTTCCAGTCTAGACTTAGATATTTCAGCTGTTGTGATAGCTCCAGTATTGATTTTTGGTAGTTTATATGCCACTCTGATGTCTCCAAGGTGCTCACGGTTTCAGCAACCTGAGTTTTTAGCTTGGAGCAGTCCTGATGGACTAGGAGATAATCGTCTAGGTAAACTGGAACACGAATATTTGTGGCTCGAAGGATTTCCGCAATTCAATTTGTTACAGCTGCGAAAGTACGATGTGCCGAGGAGAGGCCAAAGGGAAGAGCAGTTAGTTGTAGCACTTCTCCATTGTAAATTATTCGAAGGTAACGGCGATGACTTTTTGAAATTGGTAGATGGCAGTATGTCTGATGGAGATCTATTTCTACCAACCAGTCCTGATCCTGTATAAAGTCCCTCATCATTACTTGTGACACCAGTTGAAAATGTCGGGTTGACACAAACTTTTTGAGGTTCCTTAAATCGAATATGGGCCTCAGTGGACCATCCGATTTCTTCATAAGGAACATTTTGGAGTGGAAGCCGGTATCTTGTTTTGTGGATGTCTCTAGAATTTTTTGACTTTTGAGAGATAATATCATCTCTGTCATGGCTGGAGAGACCTTGGTTAAATAATTTTTCTGAATTCTGTGGTTCGGAAAACAAAGAGGTGGTTTCTTCAAAAAGGGTATTCGGTAATTGGTTATTGTTTTTAATATGAACTGATTGGCATTGAGTTGAACGCAAGCTTCCACATGATCTTTTAAACATCCCCCCCGAAACACAGTCTTGTAGTCATCTTTGTGTACCTTGGTTGTTGTGGGATCCACCACGAAAGTGTTGATTTTTCTTTGTAATAATATTGTATTTTGTCTTTTTATGGGCTTTAATATTCTTAGATTGATATTTTTGTTTGTACCTGATCTATTGTGATAGGATGATGATGATTTTGTTGTAGATGTTTGTTTCTTAATATATTGGGGAGTATTGAGCCAAACCTGAGGGCCACCTAAAGACTGAATAATAGGTAACAACGCTTCGGAACGGACGGAAATTCAAGTAGAATTAAGTGAATTGATAATTTTATAAAAGTTTTTAAATTTCCGAACTTTACTCCAAAGATTTTCTTTCACAAACGCTATGACCATAGAGACACTTGACAGTGACAGCGCGCAGGACAAGCACCCTAGCTGGAGAGTGATTGGACGTAAGTGATACACCATAGATAATCTGTTAAAGTTTTTATGCATTTAATTAGGTTATATATTTCTCTTCAGGGCTCTCTTCTGCAAAACAGAGATAGTTTCAATTTCAGATTATCCCATAGTACGATTCGATATGACCGCTACACTATAGAAATAATTAAAATTAATTAATTTAGCTGTTTCAACACATGTAACACCTCTAATCTTTTTTACAGCATATGCTGCAGAACTAAGTTTGCTAGCTAGTTTAGATATATGAGGGCCGTATTGAAACTTCGCGTTAACTGTAATTCCAAAAAAAAACAATGAATTCAACAAGATTTAACTCTTCGGCACAGTGCTTACGGCGCTACAATCTTTTTTTTTATAGGATAAGGGTGACAAACGAGCACACAGTCCACCTGATGGTATGTGGTTGCTGTGGCCCATAGACATCTACATCTATCCTCGATTACAAATCAAAATGTAGATGCGTCGTCACCCGTGATGACTAAGATGGAATGCCTCGTTTCCAGTAAAAAGGGTCTCCGGTTCTATACACTCACCATACGAAACACAGCAGCGTTACGCTGCTATTTTACGCTGGTATTCTGTGAGAGCGTGGTCCTTCCCCGGTCGATCTGACCCATTCATGCTACAACTATACCAGTTATATAGCAGCGGCATGGCTCTACCACGTAATTTTAAATCTTCTACTTTTTAAATCTTCGCGAAATTTGACATATAGTGAAAAATTCCATATGTTACATCTTATTAGTTCATATTTTTGTGAAACAGAATTTACTTTAAGTCTTAAACTAAATATGTATTAATACTAAAATACTACTTTTTGTAATGAGGCGGTTTATGTTTAGGAAAAAGCCGCACCAGAAGTGCCAACATCCACAACGCAAATTGCTACGAAGGGCGACGTCAAAAACGATAACAACAACACCAACAAGCAAACGAACAAGCAGACGGACAAGCAACAAGAGAAAAATCAACAGCGCCGAACCCAGAACTACAGACACAAAGTGAACCAAGGAAGAAACGACTTTTACCAAAAGAACAGGTACGATAACAGATTTATGCATAACAGGCATCCATATCACTATTTGGCTACAGGGCCGATAAACTAAATAACCGGACGTACTCGGGTAATTTGAACTATTTAAGAAATCAAGGCATTATTATACATAATGCGTTTGAACGGATTTTTGTGAGAAATTTATTAGTGCGTTATGAAACCCCTTTGGGTTTTAGATGAATGCTTTGTCAACTGTCATAATCAAAATTATTTATAATTATAATCTCATTTCGTAATGACAATTGCTAAATTGATGCTATATAGGAATTATTAGAGAAATTTTGTCGGGTATGAATTAAACCAATCAATTGATAATTGTAAATTATTAGATTGTCTATCTTATGCTGACTTATATTTGAGCGAGTGCAATTCCCCTTTAGCTTTCTAGCTCTAACTTTTGCCAAAACGAATATGACTCGCTCAAACAAACTTCAGCATCTTCTTAATTTATTGATTGTTGTGTAAAACATTAAAAAACTATATTTTCACTTGTAATAACTACTAAAAATGAATTGCGGTTGAAAATTTGCCAACGAATGCATCAATTTGGTTCTCAATAAATGTTGAATATATATTACTAGGACAATGAAATTATAAGATATTGTATTTCATATAATTGCTCCGTCTTATTACAAAAATTTGTTTATTATAAACTATTTTATAAACTACTACTAATTATAAACTGTTTTTTTAATAAGATGGGCTATGTATAGTGAAATTTTATAAAATATTTCCTGTAAAAAGGTGATTTCAGAAAAATATTGCTTTTTCCAAAACAACAATATTTATATGACTATTTGCTTTTTATATATTAAAATGACTTTATAGCTATATTTAAACACAATACATTACAAATTTTCACTATAAGAAAATGTGTAATGCTTGTGCAAATGAAAATTGTATTCTATGTCGTTTCAATTTTAATTGCATAAGTAAAAAGCATCAAAAGGCTATTGTATATTATAAAATGCATTTATAAACCATCATAATAAATACAAAATATCCTATGAAATGAGATACAATAATATCGTAGTTAATATATTATATCCGAAAACCTATAGTTTAATGTGGCAACCCTTCAGCGATGTTAGTTTTTTTTAACTGTCTTACATGTTTACAAGTTTTTATACTCTAACATATACCTCCTAATAAATAAACTTAAAAAAATATACCGCTTATGCATAAATATGATTAAAAAAGTAAAATAAGTAAAAATATTTGTTGCCTGTCTAAACTATAGGTCTGTAAACTTCTATGGGGTCGTGGCAATCCTAAATATCATATCAACTGTAATTTTATTATACAAGACAAGTTACACTTTTTAAAATTAACACAACTGCATTTAGCAAAATACCTATGTCTATTTATTAAACAATTGTAAAGAGTGAACTTGTAGAATTTACACACGTGTATCTGAGACCACACTTATAGTAAAAGAATAAAATATCTAAATGTCTATTTGAAATAGTATGTGTGTAGGTCTTTTCGTAATATATACTGTACCTTGCATAATTTATTGAATAATCGTGCTTGGCTGGGTTTTTTTTATGTAATTCAGTGTTGTCTTCTACGTCACGGAGACTTCGGTTATTGGCTAGTAAATGAAAGGACTTGCCAAATTTATGCTTGGTGTGAACGAAATGTATATTTATAGATACTAACTACTCTTTTGTTTATAAAAATTTTGGATAAAAGTGTAACTTTTTTAAATTTTAATATAAAACAAAAGACAAAAATGTGTCGCCGTATACAACTCAAAATTTGCTAATAGTTTTGACTTAAATGCGTGGTTTATATAATCTATTTCTAGTCATAAGATGACCATTTGTTCAGAAGCAATCATTTCGTTCACACCAACACGAAGAAACTTTTTTTTAATAAATGTGATGTTTCTACTTTATAACTAGTTGACACTATTTTAATATATCAAGTTTCGTGCAAATAAAAAAGTATATAGAATGAAGTTAAAAACTATTAGTATATAAGTAAACCACTATTTATTTTACGTGACATGATTTCGGATGAATTTGTATAGATAGTGTGTATAGGCTTAGCGATGGTATAGGGGAATTGGTTCACGGAATTGGTCCTTATTTCGGTGGTTATAAGGACGTTTCTGCTTCGTCGGACGGGTTGGCTGATTTCCGTCAATTGTACGTATTGTAGCATACGAATTTCGACACTATTAATATGCTGCTACGGTACAAAGTATTCTCGGGTTTTATAAAACATGCGAAACGTTAGTCTCACCTATGAAGATTTGAAAGTTTTTTTTTAATACATTAACAGCCAGTTCTTCATTAATAATTATTTAGCTTTTAGCGGTTTTATATGGTAGTTGATTGTTACGAAAGCATGTACCATAACATAGTATTTTTATTACCTAATACATAAAAAAACTAAATTTATAATATCCGGCTTACGGTAACTTATAGGGTTTTGACGACGCTTTAATTTGAACTATATGTTTCCCTACGGTGCACAAATACTGTTTTATACTGTCAGGTGAAAATGACAGCACGTAACCAAAACAAATCATAGTGTTAGATGATTATCTTCCATATTAAGTTCGTGTAGGTTTTAAGTGAAAAATAACCTTCATTTTTCGATTAATTATTACTATTACAAAAATATTTAATGACAAGGCCGTTATAACCTTTTATTTAAATGAATTAACGAAAGGCTATAAAGATTTTTATTTTTTTTTAATATACGTTAAATGTAGTGCCTTTTTTCTATATACGTGTGCATTTTATATGTGTAAACCTATGTTGTGTACAAAATTACAGAAAATGAAGTTGTTGTTTGCAATAATTGATTTTCTTATAGATTTTAGTTTGACTATATTGTTTTTTTTTAAATTCTTTCTCTATTGACGCGGTTTTTCTATGGGACCTTGTTTGTATTATTTGTCGTTCGGACAGATATAGTTGTTGAACAGTATTGGAAACGATTAATGGGGTTCGGTAGCGTTGGAAAAAAAGATATTAACGGCCACATACAAATTATTACTCATGTAGTTTCGACGGATATCTTTAGTACAATTTATATCTGTGCATCCATATCGTTATAATTGGTAATGTGCTTAGAACCCCTCCTAAGAGAATATATTTATCAATTTGATGCACTATTTCTGACTATTAGGCCTAATATACTTAGTAAAGTCCACTATATTCGAAAGTAAGTTGTATTATAATACCATTTGATTTTTTAATAAAATTATTTTGTCGAAATTACAATTCACATGTCTAACAAATGTTTAAATATATTATGTAAGCATTTACAACATTCATGTTACATATGATGAGATATTTTTTTTAATTGTACCAACAAGGGATTGAAAACCGTTTATAAAGTTTGGTTACGGTTTATAAAAATCGGTTCCAAATTTTAACAAATCCTTACCATATGCATGCTGGTTCTATCTTATAGCTCTCGAAGCGTTCTACTTAAACTATATTATTTAAAACTTTACTTTGACTGTTTATGTGCAAATGTACGTATATTGTGTGTATTTAATACATACAATTTACAAAATGAATTTAAAAAAATACAATTTAAAAAAACATTGTATGGGTCTATACAATGTTTTTACTGTACTTACGTAATCATCACTCTTAAAAATTAAACAAGTTTAAACTTGCTTTTGGTGTTTAAAATATTCCACCGAATGTTATCAATATTTTAAATTAATTTATTACAATAATCATGACTTAATTAGATTCGGTAATGTTAAGACTCAGTTAAAAAAGTGGAAAAAATACTTTATGAATATTCATTTAATTTTCTTTGCAAACCCTACTATTGAAGTGACAGTAGACAGATCGCAGTCATTGACATTGTTATTAGTTGAATCGGATTATACTATGATTTGCATGTAACATGCAAGTTTTAGTTTTGTATTGTGAAACATGTCAGTTGTAATTTCGACACAATGGCCACTTCAGTTAGTTTATTTTAAGTTACCGCCTTCGCTAAACTAGCTTCAGCTATTACCGTCTAATCCCACTGACAAAACCAACCCCATAATGTAATGCTTCCATTTTGATAATATTTAAATGAAAATGATCGTTAGTACAATCAATTTGCACTTAGAATATGGATTTTAGTGTGTAGTCAAAGATATTTTATCCAACTTGTTCTTTAACAAAAGTGTTTGCAGCACAATAAATGAAATATTTAGTTTGTTAGTGAATTTTAGTAGTTAGTTAATTATTATTATTATTATTATTGTTTCTCGTCTCACATATATAACGCGGACGCGGTGGCGTAATGTTGCTAGATTATCTTCACTGTTTCCATTGTTGCCATAATTAGGAACTATTTACCTCAAATTACTCGCAGATGCGCATAGATAAAAATATACTTATATTCTTCCGCGCGAATTTTCTTAAATCGGTGTTGCAATGAATTTCCAGAAATCTGTTAGTTTTTTTTTTTTGAAAATGAAATAGTATAAATTTAAAAGCATCGACTATTCAAATGGAATACTATGTAATAAAGTTCCTTGTATTAAATTATTTATGGGTGTGTCGGTATTTATCAATATATATATATATATTTAATTCTGGCAGCTTTAGCTATATTTGTCCACAAATAAATATTTTTAATAAAATCTCAGTGTAGCTTAAAATTTTCCCTTTGATATAGTTGATGCTTTGCGTTGTTATATAATCAGTAATTTATTTAGTTTTTCCTTCGATGCAGATGAATTTATTTAATGTTTTAGAAAGTCTATAATTCAATGAAGTAAGTTGGCTATGAATTGAAAATGCTTGCATGTTGTAGTCAATGTCGAAGAATATTTAGTTAGGAATTGATAAAAAGCCACAACTAGCTTCTTTTAAATTAGATTTTTATTTCACTCGGGGGGCGTTGCTTTATTCAATTAATTGATTATCAAGGCGAGCTTAGTAAAAATTGAACAAGAAAAAAATTATTTATTATAAAATAGTATTTGTTATAATTAAAAACTTGCATGTCCCAGTTTTTTTTTTCTTTAATTTAACGAAGTTAAAAGATACTTAAACGACTCAACGTGAATTAATTCAC